TTAGCTTTTCATCTTTAATTTCTTGTCTTTTAACTTTTGGTCTTTACATTTGTGTTCCTTTACATTTATTGTAATTTACATTCGTTATTTAATTTCCGCAATTTACTTTCTCGTCATTTATTTTCTCGTCATTTATTTTCTCGTCATTTATATTCCCATCATTTATTTTCCGTTCTTTACATTTATGTCTTTACTTTCCGTCATTTATTTTACTTGTAATTTATTTTCCGTTATGAGTAGCTAAGCTTTTATAGCTTGGTTGTGAGACGGAAAAGATAAACAAATCTCTATGTGGTATCCGGACCAAGGATAGTGACGAGATGGTGTCTTCAAAATATATGGATAAACAAATCTCTTTGTTAAAAATCACTCTCTCGAGTCGATTCCCATATCATTCGAGTTGGTGTGTGTTTTAGATAGTTCATCTCTGAATCTATCGCACTTTGACACTTTTGAACAGTGACCAACCCGTCGGGAGTTAAGTTTGAAAGACATAAATGACAAGTCTCCTTGTCGACAACTTTCTCAAGTCTACCTCTTATATCATTCAAGTTGACGTGCATTCAATGGCTTATCTCTTAGTCCATGGCACTTTAACACTTTCAAAGTGATCAACCCGTCAAGAAGTGTACTTGGTTTTTATAAAAACTCGAATGAAACAATGGAACATCGTTTATGAAAACACTTAGTTACTTTATTTTGGTCGAAAAAATCTTCTTTCCGTCTCACAACCAAGCTATAAAAGCTTAGCTACTCATAACGGAAAATAAATTACAAGTAAAATAAATGACGGAAAGTAAAGACATAAATGTAAAGAACGGAAAATAAATGACGGAAAAATAAATGACGAGAAAATAAATGACGAGAAAGTAAATTGCGGAAATTAAATAACGGAATGTAAATTAAAATAAACGTAAAGGAACACAAATGTAAAGAACAAAAATTAAAAGACAAGAAATTAAAGATGAAAAGCTAAAAACTAAATACTTGTATTTCTTTCCAAATCAGCCTTTTGAGAGCTGATTTTAAGTTTAGAATTCTTGTTAGATGGTATGCAAAATGAAGGGCCAAACAACTCCTTTTATACACAAAGGAGGCACAAAACAACAAAAGTATTACCCAAAGGTTAATACCCAAAAGTTAAACAAAGAGGATCTAAAGTACAAGATTACATAAAAAGTCTAAATCCCAGATTTTTAATCATCATCTAGCCATCTCCAGCTGTCCTCCATAAAACATCAAAAAGGCAACGACTTAATCATTAAGTTCTTCAAAAAGTCACGCACACATCAGATCGCCGCTGCTCCAATGCTGTAACATCAAGCTGTTAAGCAAAAAGTTTTCATTAGCTACTTCCTTTGAGTACCAACAAGTTAACCACAATATTTAGCTCCATAATAACAAAGGTATAAAGAAATTAATAAAAATGACTCAAAGTGGGAATGAAAGGAAACTAATTTAACTAATAAAACGTAAAACGAGTGACTTATATGTTGAATTCTCAACATATATCACACCCCCAAACTTAAACCATTGCTTGTCCCCAAGCAACCAAAAGACAAACAAAAAGACTCAATTTGAACAAAAATGCATGACCAAGACATTAAGTGCCCACTCAATGAGAGTTATACCAAACATGAAGTTCATAGCCTTTCATAAATCCAAGATGAGTCATTCAAAACCAAGTTCTTGTATGAACCGTAAGCTAGCATTACCATTTTCTTTGTTAAGCTCAAACACAATCACATTTTTAGGATCAATAGGGCTTATAGGGTTACTCTCTTTGGCATTTCTTTTATCTCATAGCCTTTTTCTTTAAATACTCCATAATTCAAAATTTTCAATTTTGGGCACTTTGGCCTCTTTTGATGGGAGTATGCACATAGCCCCTATGGGACTTTTGTTGTGTTTTTCCAAAACACATAGCCCCTATGGGACTTTTGTTGTGTTTTTCCAAGACCTTTTCTGATATGGAGTCAAATTAGAGCTTTGCTCTTTTATATTGATCTCTATCCTTATATAACAATCCTCCCCCAAACTTAAGTACGACAATGTCCTCATTGGAGCTTCATGGGTGTATGGTGTTTGAAAGGCGCAAGTGGCTATGATCATAGAAAAGAAGGCCTATCTTATTTCCTAATGTGTATTGTGTGATCAAAGTGTTGCCCAAAAAGAGTTTTGCTAGTTCTAGCAAGAACAAAATTTCTTGATTGAATGCAAGTAATCAATAGAATTATTTGGGCTATGATCTCATGTGTAATAGTCCTCAAATCAGGTGATCATGCATAAAAATAAGACTAAAAGCTATAAAAACTATTCCCGACTCAAAAGAATAAAATATGGAAGCTAAAGTAAGGTGGTTAGAACCTGTCCTACTCCATAAGAGTAGGTTGTGCAGTCCGGACAGCCGCGGCTGTTGTGCCCGCAATGATCTTAGCCTTCAATCTCTCATTCTTCGCCTTGTAATGGTTCAACTTTTTCTACAGCCTTTTGATCTTGCCCGCTGAACCTTTTCCAGCTCCTCTCTCAACCTCAAAAACCTTTGCTTCGTCTTTTTTTCAGTAGCCTTTAACCTCTCTATCAACTCAGCCTGCATTTCGTCCATCCTTTCCACCATTTCAGCCCGGTGATCTATCAGATAGTCCATTAAGCTACTACCTTGCGCGAACAGATCCTCCATAACTCTTGTCATCCCATTATGCTCTCTTCCTCTATCACCTCGCTCTCTTAACCTAGAAACTGCCTCATATCAATGGACCACTTCTCTTCGCTCTCCTTGATCACCAAGTCTTCCGTATACTGAGGCACACCCTCCTGCAAAAGAAGTTTGTTAAGCAGGCCCGAGAAAAATAATTTCCCTTGATTTCTCCTTGAACAATAAAGGATGGCCTTTTGAATTAATTCCCCCACATCAATGGATTTTCCCATGACCACATAGTAAAGGAGGACAATCCTCTCAACCAATATCGAGCTATCATGAGTGGTTGGGTTGAAAGAATGCCTAATAAAGTTTACCCATACATTTTCATCGGGTGTCAAGTTGGAAGCCCTGTAAGTTTTTAACATGTAGTTGCTACGGAAGTCCCACGTTGCACCGGGCTTTCCTAACTCCCTACCAATCTTCTCTAGTTTGGCTTGGGAAGCCTTTTGAGAGAGAGTACCATACTCAGTTTTGGTCGGGGGTGATAGGCCTAAAAGTTTGTTAATGGCCTTAGCCGAAAAACTTACCCTAACACCCCGTACTTTGAGCTTGGTAGTACTATAGACACACGCCTCCGCATAAAATTCCTTAATTAATGTCAAGTTAAAAGAATTCTTTACCTCACAAAGTACCTGCCATCCGTGCTTGTTGATTACATCCCGGATATAGCCAAACTCCTTAGTGCTCCTTTGATCAAACCCTTTGTCCGGCAACACCTTTTTGTTTTTGAATTTTTCAAACATTTCTTGCGCCTTTTCTTAACTAAACCCATCAAAAGGCATTTGGGGCCTAGAAATGGATTTAGATTTGGGCTTGGATTTTACTCCAGATGGACCGGCTATTTCGACATGCCTCGATGAACCTTTTCGGGGTGATTTTCTTGGCACAAAGACTGTATGCCTCAATTGGATAGATGGTGTAGGTGTCCGTCTGGTTCTCTTCCTAGGAAGCTGTTTCTCCACAGCCTTTGATTTGGTTGTATAATCCTTTCCCAACCCTTTCCTTTTTCTCGTGGGTATTGGTGTTATACCCCTTAAATCGGCCTCTAAATCCACTTCAATTGTTGAAGAGTCAGTGGTTTCCTCCCCAACATGTGGTGCGCAATGATCAAACTAAAAAGGTTCTACCTCAACATTGTGAGGGACAAATTCAACCTTGGTCGTATGCTCATGAGTGATGTGATGATCATTCCAAGTCAAGAGGTATACTTTAGTGTCATCCAAAGCAATGGGTGATGGTGGTGATAGTTATATAAAATCCCCTTCCTTCTTAGAGGAATCAGAGGCAGTGAGTCCCTCTACCAAAAGATTAGGGCTTGAAAATGGATTTACCTCAACACCTAAGTTAGGGTTTTCAATCGCCGGCGAAGTAGTTGGGGTAGGAGCAGAGGTCTCGGCGACAGTAGGTGGTAATGGTAATGCAACATTGGCGATAAGCGGCAGAGTTGAGAGTGGACAGTCGGTCGTGAGGGACGGGGTCGGTTTTGCACGCGAAGGAAAGTCGACGACTCTTGGAGGAATCAGCCGTGGTTGCGGCGGTGATGAAGGTGGAGACGACGAAGGGCTATTGGCGACTAGGTCAATCATCTTCGGTTCCCCTGTTCGTTGCGAAGTTGAGGTGAATGCTCGCCGGTGATTGCTTCATCGCACCAGCGATGGTGGGTCGCGAATGGCCGGTCGCTTCATTTGGGCCATGATTTTACAATAGAACAGTGGTGTGGCTTTCTTAGTGTTAGAGAGGGTGGTAATATGACGATGCTCTTTGAGGTCTTAGTGACTAATGGAGATGAGATGGTTGATGGAGAGGCCGGTGACGGCGATGATGCTTCTTGGGAAGATGAAGGGTCTCTTCTCAATTAAGTCTCCTTTCTTGCTTTCTTTTCTTAAAAATTGACGGTTAAGGAAAAACCACTGGACAAAGAGGTTATCTAGAGGTTACAAAAACTTATCATTATGGAGGGAGTGGGGTATTTTTGCATGGGGAACAAAGTCTGAGAAAAAACTGATAAATTCTTTGCTGATGCTTTCTAGGCGGCTACTAATGTCATGTGTACCTTCCTTGATTTTCTAAAAATTTCCACCGAACTTCACATGTGAAATTTCAATGGGAATGCTGCAACATCGGCAGTAACAAACTTATAAAACATAACTGCCCTAATATATAGATATAAAAAGGAAACATATTTACAAACATCACTGGACTTTGAAAAGTCCACATACACCTCTATTTCCTAAGGTGTAGCCAAATTCTCAGAGCAATGCTTTGGGAATGCTACAGGATCATGAAATACCTTAACTCATTACCCATTCACTTTAAACACGGTGTTGTCCTCCGGGTTAATTAGGTCAACTGCTCCATAAGAGTAAACCTTATAAATGGAAAAAGGTCCAAACCACCTAGACTTGAGCTTTCCTGGGAATAGTTTCAACCTAGAGTTGAACAAGAGGACTTTATGTCCTTCTTTCAAAACTCTGTGCTGGATTATGTTATCATGCCACTTCTTTGTCTGTTCTTTAGAGAGCTTGGCATTTTCATAAGACATATGTCTTTGTTCCTCAATTTCACACAGTTGTAGCTTTATTTTCTTTCCAGCTTCATCCAAAGACATATTTAGCTCTTTGATTGCCCAATATGCTTTGTGCTCAAGTTTTAAAGAAAAATGACAGGCTTTTCCATAGACTAGCTTGTATGGAGACATACCAATTGGTGTGCTATGCTCATAAAGCATCGTCTAACTTGAATGCCCAGTCCTTTCTATTGGGTTTGACAATTTTTTCCAAAATGCTTTTAATTTCTCTATTAGAGAGCTTTACCAAACCATTCATCTGCGGGTGGTAAGCTATGGCAACCCTATGGTTAATATTGTATTTTTCAAGAACTCCTTTTAACAAATTGTTCACAAAATGGGTACCCTCGTCACTAATTAGTGCTCTCGGAGTACCGAACCGTGTGAAAATTTGTTTTTGGAGGAACTTAACCACAATTTTGGCATCATTTGACACACATGCCATAACTTCCACCCATTTTGACACGTAGTCAACAGCCACAAGTATGTATTGGTAATTGTTTGATGGAGGGAAAAGACCCATAAAGTCTATTCCTTATACATCAAATAATTCAACTTCAAGTATCCCATATAATGGCATTTCATTTCTTTTAGACATGGAGCCACTCATTTGACATTCGTTGTACCTCTGTGCAAAATTGTGGGAGTCTTTAAAAATGGCTGGCCAATAAAAACCGGACTGTAGGACCTTGGTTGCAGTTCTTTGGCCCCCAAAATGGCCTCCGTATGGTGCATGATGGCAATGCTGCAGGATTGCTCCCACTTCAGATTCAGGCACACATCTTCTTCAAATCTGATCTGCACCAAGTTTAAACAAAAATGGGTCATCCCACAGATTGGATTTAGCATCATGAAAGAATTTTTTCAACATGTGGCCTGTGTATAGAAGGTTTTATTCCACAGGCCAAGAAATTTGCTAAATCCGCAAACCATGGTGTTTTTGGTTGTTCTATCATGAGGATTCTTTCATCCGGAAAAGTCTCACTAATGTCCACTCCTCCTATCTCAGGTTCTTCTAACCTAGATAAATTGTCTGCCACTTGATTATCTACTCCCTTTCTATCAAGTATCTCCCAGTCAAATTCTTGCAATAATAGCACCCATCTTATTAACCGAGGCATTGCATCTTTCTTTGAGATCAAATACTTGATGGCTGCGTGATCGGTATGTAGATTTACCTTTGTTCCCATCAAGTAAGATCTAAACCTTTCAAAAGCAAAAACTATGGCCAATAATTCATTTTCTGTTGTGGTGTAATTAATTTGTGCTTCGTTCAAATTTAACTTGCGTGATAAATTGAATGAAACACCTTTTCTTTCCTTTGTCCTAACACAACATCCACCGCCTAATCACTCGTGTGACACATAATCTCGAAAAGTTTGTTCCAATCAGGGGCAACTACCACTGGAGCCATGACTAAAGCTTTCTTCAAAGTTTTGAATGCATTTATGCATTCATCATTAAAATCAATTTTTTGATCATGTTGTAGGAGTAGCCAGAGAGGTTTTGAAATTTTTGAAAAATCTTTGATGAACCTCCTGTAAAACCCGGCATGACTCAGAAAGCTTCTAATTCCCTTAACAGTGGTTTGTTCCGGTAGTTTTTCAATAACTTCGAGTTTTGCTTTATCTACCTCAACCCTTCTTTTAGAAATTTAGTGCCCAAGAACAATTCATTCCATGACCATGAAGTAACATTTCTACTCATTGAGGACCAAATATGTTTCCTCACATCTTTCCAAGCTTTTTTTCAAATTATCTAAGCAGTTGTCAAAAGATGAACCATATACAGAAAAATCATCCATAAATATTTCAATGGATTTTTCAAGCATATATGAGAATATGGACATCATACACCTCTAGAAGGTGGCAGGAGCATTACATAATCCAAATGGCATCCTTCTAAAAGCAAAAGTGCCATAAAGACAAGTAAAGGTGGTTTTCTCTTAGTCCTTGGGAGAAATGGCTATTTGATTGTACCCTGAATAACCATCCAAGAAACAATAGTACTATTTGCCGGCTACTTTGTCCAACATTTGGTCAATATGAGTTAGTGGAAAATGGTCTTTTTGAGTAGCCTTGTTTAGCCTCCTATAATCCACGCATATTCTCCAACCGGATACAACTCTAATGGGGATAAGTTCATTTTTATCATTTGTGGTGACTGTAAACCCTCCCTTTTTTGGAACACACTGGACTGGGCTAACCCAAGAACTATTGGCTATTGGGAAGATAAGTCTTGCATCTAACCATTTCAAAATCTCTTTCTTTACTACCTCTTTCATGACAGGATACAACCTTCTTTGAGGTTCTATGGATGTGAAATTCTTATCCTCTTAGATGATCTTATGTTGACAAATAGAGGGACTAATCCCTTTAAGGTCAGCAATGGTCCATCCTAAGGCCTTTTTGTGCAACTTCAACATATCCACTAGTTTCTTTTCTTGATGCAAGTCTAGGGTAGATAAGATGATGACAAGCAATTTGCCCTCTTCTCCTAGTAAAACATATTTCAGATGGGATGGGAGTTGCTTTAACTCCAAGTCAGGTGGTGATATCATGGACGGGGTGAAGTCTTTTTGCTCACTATTTTTCAGCAGCTCAAATGCTGCAGCATCCACTTTGAGGCAGATTTTATCATACTAGACTTTGAGGCAGATAAGGACATTCCTATTATTTTAGGGAGACCATTTCTAGCCACCGGAAGAACTTTGATAGATGTCTAGAAAGGAGAGTTGACCATGAGACTTCAAGATCAAAAAGTCACATTTAATGTTTTCAACTCTCTAAAGTACCCTGATTACTTGGAAGAGTGTTCAAAGATAACTAAAATAGAGGAAATGTGCCTTGGAGAAGGAATTCAGGAAAACTTTAAGTTGGAAGAAGAGTGTGATGAGAAAATAGAAGAGGAAAATGTTGAGGAAATAATGGAAATAGGAAATGATATTGTCCTAGTGGATGCAGCAGCATTTGAGCTGCTTGAAAATAGTGAGCAAAAAGACTTCACCTCGTCCAAGATATCACCACCTGACTTGGAGTTAAAGCAACTCCCATCCCATCTAAAATATGCTTTTCTAGGAGAAGAGGCAAATTGCCTGTCATCATCTCATCTACCCTAGACTTGCATCAAGAAAAAAAAACTAGTGGATATGTTGAAATTGCACAAAAAGGCCTTAAGATGGACCATTGCTGACCTTAAAGGGATTAGTCCCTCTATTTGTCAACATAAGATCATCTAAGAGGATAAGAATTTCACATCCATAGAACCTCAAAGAAGGCTGAATCATGTCATGAAAGAGGTAGTATAGAAAGATATTTTGAAATAGTTAGACGCAGTAATTATCTTCCCAATAGCCAGTAATTCTTGGGTTAGCCCAGTCCAGTGTGTTCCATAAAAAGGAGGGTTCACAGTCATCACAAATGATAAAAATGAACTTATCCCCACTAGAGTTGTATCCGGTTGGAGAATATGCATGGATTATAGGAGGCTACTCAAAAAGACCATTTTCCACTATCTTTCATTGACCAAATGTTGGACAGAGTAGCCGGCAAAGAGTACTAATGTTTCTTGGATGGTTATTCAGCGTACAATCAAATAGCCATTTCTCCCGAGGACCAAGAGAAAACCACCTTTACTTGTCTTTATGGCACTTTTGCTTTTAGAAGGATGCCATTTGGATTATGTAATGCTCCTGCCACCTTCCAGAGGTGTATGATGTCCATATTCTCATATATGCTTGAAAAATCCATTGAAATATTTATGGAATGATTTTTCTGTATATGGTTCATCTTTTGACAATTGCTTAGATAATTTGAAAAAGAGCTTGGAAAGGTGTGAGGAAACAGATTTGGTCCTCAATTAGTAGAAATGTCACTTCATGGTCAAGGAAGGAATTGTTCTTGGGCACTTAATTTCTAAAAGAGGGGTTGAGGTAGATAAAGCAAAACTCGAAGTTATTGAAAAACTACCAGAACCTACCACTATTAAGGGAATTAGAAGCTTTTTGGGTCATGCCGGATTTTACAGGAGGTTCATCAAAGATTTTTCAAAATTTTTAAAACCTCTATGTCTACTCCTACAACATGACAAAAAATTTGATTTTAATGATGAATGCAGAAATGCATTCAAAACTTTGAAGAAAGCTTTAGTCACGGCTCCAGTGGTAGTTGCCCCTTATTGGAACAAACCTTTCGAGATTATGTGTGACGCGAGTGATTGGGCGGTGGGTGCTGTGTAGAACAAAGGAAAGAAAAGATGTTTCATTCAATTTATTACGCAAGTAAAATTTTGAACGAAGCACAAATTAATTACACCATAACAGAATAGGAATTATTGGCCGTACTTTTTGCTTTTGAGATCTTACTTGATGAGAACAAAGGTAATTATACATACCGATCATGCAGCCATCAAGTATTTGATCTCAAAGAAAGATGCAAAGCCTCGGTTAATAAGATGGGTGCTATTATTGCAAGAATTTGACTTGAAGATACTTGATAGAAAGGGAGTAGATAATCAAGTGGCAGACCATTTATCTAGGTTAGAAGAACCTGAGATAGGAGGAGTGGACATCAGTGAGACTTTTCCGGATGAAAGAATCCTCATGATAGAACAACCAAAAACACCATGGTTTGCGGATTTAGCAAATTTCTTGGCCTGTGGAATAAAACCTTCTGAGTACATAGGCCACATGTTGAAAAAATTATTTCATGATGCTAAATCCTAACTGTGGGATGACCCGTTTTTGTTTAGACTTGGTGCAGATCAGATTTGAAGAAGATGTGTGCCTGAATTTGAAGTGGGAGCAATCTTGCAGCATTGCCATCATGCACCATACGGAGGCCATTTTGGGGGCCAAATAAGTGCAACCAAGGTCCTACAGTCCGGTTTTTATCGGCCAACCATTTTTAAAGACTCCCACAATTTTGCACAGAGGTGCAACGAATGTCAAAGGAGTGGCTCCATGTCTAAAAGAAATGAAATGTCATTAAATGGGATACTTGAAGTTGAATTATTTGATGTATGGGGAATAGACTTTATGGGTCCTTTCCATCCATCAAACAATTGCCAATACATACTTATGGCTGTTGACTATGTGTCAAAATGGGTGGAAGTTATGGCATGTGTGTCAAATGATACCAAAACTGTGGTTAAGTTCCTCCAAA